GCCCTATCATATATCATAGAAAATTACTAAATATCTGCAAAGAATACTAGCTACTTATTCATGGATGGGTTATCATAATCAACATTATCCTTAGTTTTTATGATAATCTGACAAATAATTTATCATTCTTACATTTCACAATGCTTAAGTCACTACTAATTGGGGAAAATTATACTCCCTTATAATTACAGATAAAGTGATCTTTCAAAAATTATTCTTTGCCCTTTTAAAAACTTTCATCATTGGATGGTGACAGGTCTGATTTCAGCTTTCACAGTTTCCGTTCACTTGTCGATGTTTGAAGAAATGATGGCTCACAGAGCTCTAAGATTTGAATTGTAGCAGACCAGAAACTCATGAATTCCCCCGGAATTCTTTTTCCCCCGCACTCTTTCCCCCGCACTCTTTTGCTCAGTTTCATGCCATGGTATATGAAGTATATCGAGGCTTGGAGTTACCTGTTCTGTGAGGTGCATTTTGTGTCACTTCTGACAGTGACATTGAGTTTGTTTTAGCCCGTGAACATCTCAATCAGCAACAACTACACTCTATTCATATGTTGATTATAAAACAACAATAAGGAAATCAAGAGTTGCCGGCATTTACTGAGGTCTTGTCATGCCATACTCCCATCACCTGGCTAAATCTCACTTAATCACAACTAATTTACAATGTAGATGCTGTTACTAACTTTCAGTCACATCTGAAGAAATGGAGGCAGAGAGATGCTTGTTCAAAGGCCATTCAATTTGTAAAGTGTGCGATCCACGTTTCGAACCCAGGCAACCTGGATTCCAGATGCTGCACTCTGAAGGCACTCTGAGCGCCCTTCACTTACTTAGTACATGACATTGTAATAATTAGCCTGTGTGTCTGGAATTCCCATTAGCCTGCGCGTGAGCTCTCCTTGTTCAAAGAATGCAGTTGTCTTTTGCCTCCGTCCACAGCAAAGTCTCCATTTTCAAATGATGTTTGATGCAAATATTACCCAGTAACATATTTTAAGCCTGCAAAGCAAAGTAAGTTAGAAAAGAATTTCTTCTTCCCTGTCTCCAATATGTAAAGCAGATGTCCTATCACAGATTCTACCGTTGTCCAACACTCTGTCTGCGAGAACGTCTGGATGCCTTTCACATTGAAGTCATGCATGCTGAATCTGCTTCACTCATGTTAACAGATGTGTGATCCGAAGAACCAAAAACTCCACCCCTGTCCCCCTGAGCAGTTCCAGAGCCTAACTTGGACCCTCAAGTTTTTGCACGAAGGATCTGTGACCTGCTGAGTGTATGTAGCCTCTGAAACCAGGCTGGCAAGACTCAGAGCCCCGCTCTATCTCCTGGTGGTCTGTACTTTTGCAAATTTGCCCAAATTCTCTGTGCCTAATCTTCCTTATCTGTGAAATGGGTGATATGACAATAATGGCATCTGCTTCATGAGGCTGGCATAAATATTAAATTGAGCGATTAACATATCATCTTTATAGAGTTGACTGTTGGTAACTCAACTAATTTATATTTATCAAAACCAGGAAATGGAATAATAGCATCCAAATAAATAAATAAGCAGAATTAACACCAAAAGCAACTACTTCAATCCTCAATAATATTTTAAAGCCTTTTTTTTTTGTATTTTAGTGAAATTTTTACTTCTGTGCATCCAATTGGCTGATGCATTCTGAACATAACTTTTCAGTTGGGAATTTCATTAACAGTTGCCCCACTGCTGCTCTTTATAATCATTTTCTTTCTTTGAACCACCTCCACCCTCCACTGCCCCTCCCCCCCCCCTTTTTTTTCAGACGGAAAGAATCAAAAGCTAATGGTAAACATTTTATTTAGAGATAATGGGTCATGGGATAGGCTTGGTAGGTGGTCTCCCATCTTTACTCTCATCTTGTAGAATAAAGAATAAACTGACAGAATTAAATTTTATTACCTAAATCAGTCCCATAAATGACCAGAAGTTCACTGAAACAAACAAACAAACAAACAAACAAAAAAATGTTCAGTGTAATAAATTCTCTAAGGATCCCTGAAGATTATCCATACCACCTTTGTGATTTTGAAAGTGACACCACTTTGCAAGTTAGTATGAGCCCTCCGCCCCAAAATTGACATGTATATGCTTTCATTTTGCCTCATACTGCTTCTCTGACCTTTCCCAGTTGGAATAGTAGCAGGAAACTAAAATAAAAGCACTGTTTTTCTGTGTGAGGCACTTTGTGACTAAACGTTAATCCTGAAATTATAACAGTTGCAAGACTCCTCTGCTCCTTGCTTCTCCTAAGCAGAGAACTATGAGATGAAACAGCCTACCGCCGTAAACATCAGGGGCTAGTGTTTCCTTCTCCTCTGAACCCAACCAGGCTGATCTGAGTCCAGAAATGCCTTTGAAGTCACAGAGGCCTTCATGTGCTGATCAATCCTTGGGGGGTAAAGAGCAAGAAAACCTGGTTCTGGCACTTTAATATTCGGCCAGGGAAGGCATTCAACTCAGTGCAGAACAAAAAGGTTTCCTCTGTTACAAATTGAGTGATATTGTACTTGGGTGCCTCTTGGATCAATTAACTTAGGGAGACCTATTGATCCCAGAACATGATTATTTATACTTCGGTACATATTTCCATTAAAGTCAGAGTAAGGATGGAACAGAAACAAGAGTGAGTTCGCATTTCTCCTTACTCTTAAGGCATGCAGTCGGCTTTGGGTCAATTTAAGTGGAAAACAGCATGTGATTCTCTTAATACCAATGATCACTACTGAGTATTAATATAATCAGTATTAAGTGTCGTGCTGTACTGTTTCCAAGTTATCAAAACCTTAGAAGTTAAGAATTAAAATGATCTTAAAATTGTGCAATCTGAACCCATCCTTTATAGTTAAGAAATCTGAGCACCTAAAAGCTAATATCTATCTATCTATCTATCTATCTATCTATATATATCTATATCTATCTATCTATCTATCTATATATCTATATATATATATAGCTGTTTAGTGGCAAAGCAAAATTTGACGTCAAAACTTCTGAATCTGTTCAGGGTATTTTTCTCTTTACACCCTCGAAATTATCTCTGTCAAACTTTTTCTCTTTATCTAAAGTTGCTAAACTCTTCACTCTCAAATTGTGGAGAATGTATTCCAACGCCAGCAACATGAACCTATTTTAGGTCCCTTTATGTTTTAAGAGATTACTAAAATAGGAAATATTGTCATTTTATAAAGCAGTTACATTTTATTATTTTGGTCACAGAAAAATATTCGATACAATAGAATTATAGAGTTTGTAGACTTATAATTTATTATAATAGCATAAATAAAGACAAAAATCCCTGTAATAGTATAGATAGGATACCAACTTCAGTTGATTGTCACATAGAAAGAAGAGGTAAAAATTTCTACTATAAAGTTAATCAGCAAGATAAAGAGACATGAATACAAATACCAGAGAACAATAGTTTCAAAATTATTATGGCACACGGTGACTACAAAAAATATGTCTATCTGTTTTAAATATTTACTATCTTATCTATGTTAATATATGATTATTTGTAATTAATTTAGACCGAAGAAAATGGAAAAAAAAAACTATAACTTTAGGCATATTAAAAAGTTATAGTTAAAACACAAATATTTCCCGAGTCTCTTCTATAAAAACAGCCATGATTCACATCCTCTGTCACTGAGTAAAAGTAACCTGAAGGAATATAATAGGACTTTCCAACTGTCCTCAAACTGATTTCACAGGAGCCTACTCTCATTATTTTGAGACATTGGTACTATCTTAATTTAAATGGCTCAATGGCAATAAATATTATACTTAATTGGAGAGCCTTTGCAGTCAGTCTATATTCGAATTGCTTCATTTGTGAATAATTATCTTTAGTAATGACAACACGTATGAAATGGCTTAAGACAGTTTCCGCTACCTCTTTACATTCTAGGTAACAAACTAAAGTGCAAAGGTTAACCATTGAATTTTACCTGCCTCCATTTATATACGCATACACACAAATGCATCCAAATACACCCATACTCATACAAAAACGAGACTTTATACAGTATCTTCAACTGAGCAAATAACTATAATGCAAAGAGGTTCTTCCTGCATGCAATTCATTCTTCACAAAATAAAAAAGCCCTCCTCTGCATACACGAATGCATAAGACCACAAATTTTAAAGGCCAGTTTGCTATTGATATAATGGCCATACATTCCTTGAACATTTACGTGGTTTACCCTAAATTCAATCAGAAATTGTGTGAAATGTCTGTGAGATACATTGCAAACTATCCTCTGCTTTTACGCCATAATGAATTATATTTCATCAAGTATCAGAATGACCGAAATTTTATTTTCTTTCCTGTCCACTCCTTTCTCACTTTACCTGACTGGCAGTAGTATTTCTTCTTAACGCCTTATTAAATAGCATTGAACAGTCTAATTTTCCCAGAATTCAGTCCTGAGGTATACATTTCCATTTCCTTTGTTGATCTAGCACAGGCTCAGGTGATTTCTACATAATGCATCCAATTAGTTCAAGCAAGGCAAATGAAATCACATCTATACTAATCTCCACATTATTAACTATAAACAGGAACAGGATGTGTCTCCACTCTTTGCTTCAGTCCATTCAAGTGCAAACCAAAAGAAAAAGGATTTCCTGTTCTTCTTTTCACACTCCTGAGTATGACGATATTTGTTTCTGTTTCTCCACAGTAATTGATAAGAGTGCAAAACCTCTCTCACATCCCTCCTTTATTCCATATTGAAAGCTTGATTTTTTTTTCAGTTTGTTTGCTAAGTATAGTTTGATTTCTTTTTGCAGAGATTTTATTTTAAGTCCATTTTGCGTTTTCTTCACAATCAGAGCTTCATTTTAATCAGATAGTGGTCCTGCCCCTTGGGAATCGATTTCTTTTTGCACAAGACAATTCAGGTCTATTAAGATCCAACACACTGAGTTGGAACATTACATGTATTTCACTTACGAGCACATACATTCATTTTACACGATTCCTCAATGTGGCCAGGGGGGTTCGTGGTCTGCACTGTATCCACCTACAAAAAATACAAAAATATATGTCTGCTTTACAGCAATGTGAGTAGGGTTTTGCCAGCCTAGTTCCAAAGCTTGGGTGCACATCTTGGCTGATAGTATTCTTTTCTTCCTTAAGATGTATTTGCAGTGGCCAGAACCTCTTTCAGAAGTCATAGAGATATAACAGTTCCCTACAATTAACAACCCTGGGGCATCTAAATCAATACTGCTGGTTAATCTCAAGGATGCTATCTCTGACAAGAAATATTTGCATGGTAAAAGAAACATTGAATTAATTGTGTTTCAGGCTTCAAGCTTTTCAAGGCTATGAAATGTCACCAGAAGAGGGATGGAGGGGGAAGGGGGGGGGATGCTGGCTTTGTTTATACTACAAATACAAATAATGAAATGGTAATTTTGTTGTCACAGTTTTTACAATTTACAAGTCCCTAAGATCTCAGAGATGTGCTCTTGATCTGAGTGTTCACACCATTCAAAGTAGCTCTCTTGTCTTTAAAAACAATCCTTAGATAGCTGTCTCTTTACAGAAATCTGAGCAATTTACATGCTATCAACAAATGGCCTGCTGATCTCAGGTCGGGGATGAATAACTCTCCCCTTCAAAGTCATGACCCTAAAAGGGCAATTTTTTCCAACTTTGTATCTACTTTGCACAAATAAAGTGATGGTAATATCCCTTCAAAATATTTTGCTAATGTCAGTTTTAAATAGTGTTAATTTTTTCTCTGAACTTGCTACTGACCAAGTGGCTGATTTCTGCTCTCAGTGCCAGAAGGTACACAGAGTATCGTCTTCTAGTTTGATAGCACAATTGATGTTAGTAAAACATTTAGTAAGTTTGAACATTGCCAAAAAAATAATAAATCACCTCCATAGAATAGAATGCTACAGTTCACTACCAGAAGTATTTATCTTTAAGAATTAGAATCAGAAAAGAGAAATAAATATTCCACTCAATTTCCAAAGTAACGATGCATCAGCACACGAGAATCGAAGTTAGAAAAGAAGTAAATGATTTATACCACTGAATAATTGACCAATTCATTTTTGAAAGTAATTGGTGTAAAAAAAAAAAAAACAAGTAATGTCTAATGTTGAAATTAATTATTCATATTCAAGGACAGAAAATGTTTAAGCATTGCTCTAATCACAGATTATCAATATTAGCTGTATAAATTTAAGCAGCTTTAAAATGTCTTAATTTTTGAATTAGTTGTTATCTTTTCCTAGAAATAAAAAGAATGTTTTTTTTCTTTCTGAAGCAGCTCTAACCATTACCATAACTTGGGAAATTCTGTCCTATTACACAAGCAGCTTGCATCTATGAAGGCATCACTGATAAGTGCATCTTCCTAATTTAAATTGTACGTTTAAGATGAACATAGTTTGTCTTATTTTACACAAACTATATGACTGCACATTTCATTTCAAAACTGCCTGGACACAAGTGAAAGCTCAACATTTGCAAGTTTCAGATATTGTTTTCCTATTCCCAAATCAACTGCAACAATATAGCTGTAATGCATGCCAAGACATTAGACCTTCCTGTTATGGGCTCTTACTGTATGTGATACGTTGCCATAGACTTTATCAAATATTTAACTACTCTTGTGAAGTTACTCATTTAAGCCTTACATCCCGTACGAGGCTACAATGAGCTCCCTGAAGGCAAATGTCATGTCCATTCTGTTTATTGCTACAGTCTCCGTGTTGGCACCTGGTCGGCCTTCAGTGAAAATTGATTTAATGAATGAACGCATGTTTGAGAATAACCAATGAAGGAAATCATATTATTTGTCATAGCACAGTATTACTATTGCCTAATCCCGATATTTTGAAGTCATATGGCTATCTTTGACTTTCGATTATTTGTCGTATGATAGATTATGGCACAGATCTTTCTTGAATTGCAGTAAATGCTTTTTTATTTTAATAGCATATTATTTCTCCCCCTTTTCTCCCCTCTGTAATTCTGTCTTAAATTATGTGTCTAAAATTTCTAAAATTTCACTACCATCTCTTTTTAATCTATCCCATATAATCGTCACTCTTTTCTCTAAGGAAATACACTATGCAAAATTGCCCACAAGGTTTTTAATAAATGAGTAAACAATTAAAACAATAACAACAAACATAGGAAATCAGAGGTGTCAAATGTTTCATTTTCTATTTACAAGACCTGACGTACTTTTAACTTAAAAGCACACCCAAGAAATAAAATGCATCGAAGTAATAAATTCACCATACTGCCATGGAGCCCAATGAAATCTCCATATTAAAATGATATTGAAGAATGACACTCCATTTCATAAAGTCATTCCTAAATTTCATTTCATAAATTAACTATGGATGAGCAGGTTTCGTGTTTTTGTGGTTTTAAGTTTTGAGCCCCTGCACAAATGCATCTGTGCACTAACATTCACCTGTCACTGAAGCCAAGAAAAATGGATTCTTCCCTTAGCATTAAAGATTAATGTTTAAAAGCAAAAGTGCACACCTCAGATAGCTTATTGAGTTCATGGAGAACTACTTAGGAATCACCGCTTTGAAAACTGTCATTGGCGAGGGCCAGGGTAAAAATGGAGGTCACCAGGATGTGTTTGTTTTGATTTGAATCAGCTAATTAAAATGGCCCTGGAAGCAATTTTCAGATCACTGCCACTGAGGAGATAGGCTCTGGTAAATCCAACCAAACCAATTTTTCAGTCAGGTCCAATTCAGTTGAAGTTGTATAGACAAGCCTTTGTCTCTGCCTCTCAGCCTTGCTCCTCAATTTGTTCTAAATCTCAGTCAATATGTCTCTCTCTGTCTCTCTGTATCTTTCTCTCTGTCTCTCTCTGCCTCTCTGTCTCTCTGTCTCTCTCTCTCTCTCTCTCTCTCTCACACACACACACACACACACACACACACACACAGAACAAGATGAAACCAAGTCATTCTGGAACACGTTCTACAAGACCATCTCTATATCTCACTCAGTTTCCATTTCCTGACCAAAGAGACTGAAATAGGCTGGGAATTTAATTAATGAAATTTATCCATAAAAAGTTAACTTATAAAACCTAAGTTCTTCTTTTCCAGACTTCCCAAGAGCTGGTGAGTAGTGCTAAGAGAAGGAAAGTGAATGATGGAGACAGTAAGAATAGGATTCAGATTCAGGTACAAGAATATGCTGAACATTCACACATAGGAACAGAAATGTCCTTATATTGGTTGGGGCACCTGGGTGACTCAGTCAGTTAAGCATCCAACTTCAGCTCAGGTCATGATCTCCTGGTCCTCAAGTTTGAGCCCCGTGCCAGGCTCTGTGCTGACAGCTCGGAGCCTGGAGCCTGCTTTGGATTCTGTGTCTCCCTCTCTCTTTCTGCCCTTTCCCCGCTCATACTCTGTCTTTCTTTCTCTCTCATAAATAAATGTTAAAGAAATGTTTCTAAAGAAATGTCCTTATTAAGTCTAAAAACAACAACAAACATTTTAAAACCATAAATTAAGAAATATATATCTGGAGGGCACCTGGGTGGCTCAGTCAGTTAAGCGTCCCACTCTTGGTTTCAGCTCAGGTCATGATCTCACGGTTCCTGAGATCGAGTCCCACATCAGGCTCTGTGCTGACAGTGTGGAGCCTGCTTGAGATTCTCTCTCTCCCTCTCTCTGCACTCCACCCCCACTCTCTCTCTCTCTCTCTCTCTCTCTCTCTCAGAATAAATAAAATTAATTTTTTTAAAAAGAAATATTTATTTTGAAAGGAATATGTGTCTATTTTTCTACTTATTTTTATTACGTATGCTTCAAACCTAAATCATGCACCTATGTAATTGGTGTAGATTAGGTACAAGTATCTGTTGAATGTGTTTTCATATAATTGGCAATATGTAAAAGATCTATGAATATTCATTATTTTGTCCTTCACTGACACTCAAATCTAGAGAAAAGGAAAAGGTGTCATATGACAAGCAGATATTTTTCCATAGCATAGAAAATTAAATTGATGGTAATTTCTACAATCCAGGAACAGGAAATTGATGTTCATATTTTAGAGCATAAACGTATAATACAGAAGCTAAACCAGGGCAGAGTCACCTATCAATACTGAAAGTTTATCTGTTACTTTTTAAAAAATATTGGAAAATCATCTGAAGTGTAAAATGAGACATCGGACAAACATGGGGTTTGGTGAATGAAAGACTATAAGGAGGACAATTCGGGGTGGTATTTTCATCTTTTACTTCCTTTTTATTTTTATTTTTTTTATTTACTTTTTAAAAATGTTTATTTATTTTTAAGAGAAAGAGACAGAAAGAGCCTGCAAGCAGGGGAGGGACAGAGAGAGAGAGAGAGAGAAAGAGAGAGAGAGACAATCCCAAGCAGATTCTGCACTGTCAGCACAGAGCCCGTCATGGGGCTCGAACTCACAGACAGAGATCACGACCTGAGCCAAAATCAAGAGTCAGACGCTCCACGAACTGAGCCACCCTACTTCCTTTTTTTAAGTGATGCATCCCAAACCATAAATTATAATAATTATCAGTTACTGCCACACCTGTATAGATGTTTATTACAAAATAACACTTTAATAATTTTACCTCGCAAATCCCTTGTGAAGTGGAAACTACAATTTTGTTCATTTTACATATGAAAGAATTGAAGCTCAGAGAGCTTAATCTTCTTACAGAACATCGCACAAAAAAGAATCAGGGTCCCAAAACAAGACTTTTGGCTTCTAGCCAAATGTTTTTCCCTGCATTATCTTTTTTCATGATTATTTTTTATCTGACTTTGAATCTTTTAAAAATAAACAGAGAAGTTATAACTGCAAATGTCTCCATTTTTGCCATGTTTTAAGGCATAATAAACAAACTTAGGCAAGTTTCCTAAAGTATGTATTTATCATACTCAGGATTCTATCATAATTGTTTAAATTTATGAACACATAACAAAGTTCAACATACACAAAAGTTGTCTACATTGCCAACAACAGAAAAAGACAAAGAAGGCAAAT